TTTGATTAACTGTGAATATTCTCTTTTTTCAAATTACTACATATCTTAAAATAATGCCAAAATGAATATGGAAATGACCCCTAGGTCTGTTTTTCAGACATGCAGGAGGCCGAATCCTCTCAACAATCAAGATGCAGTTGATAAAAGGCCGAAACAGCGGGGATGCTTTCTGTCAAGCAGCAGAGGAAGTTGTACAAGATTTGGATTTGAGGATTAAAAATATTATCAGTTTTCAGCATGAGGTTGTGGCAGCCAGCACTACTGGAATCAGTCCAGCCCGAGTAAGGGGCCTCCTTTTGTTCTTCTAAACTGCTTGATATAACAGATTTTTTTTTCTTAAATGCCCTGATTATTTCTTGTACATTAGTTGAATAAAATAGTTGCTTTGAACGACCTTGGAAATGATAATGTGTTTTAAAAATGTTCTTATTTTAAATGGGCAAATCTTTTCTACAAGAAGAAAAGCTTTCTCCTCTGAAGTAGTGCTGATAATTAGTTTAATCTTTGGGAAGTTCTTCTTTTGCTGCCCACCTTCCCTTCCAAGTATATTTTAGCAGTGGTTATTTTTATTTTGACTTCCCTATCTTGTGTTAATTGATTTATCTGCTGATTTCTTCCTGACAGGATTGCTTAACTCTTCCTAATGTTATTGCCTTGCTTGAATCTCATGTCAGTTTTTTGCCTCTTTGCTTGTACAAACACCAGCCTGTGCACCTTACTCTTTCTTGTACCCTGTTTGTATGTACCTTGCCTTGAAGTATACAGAGCCCATTGATTAATGAAGATTTCTATCATGAGGAAGTTTTATCTGATGAATCTGCATTAGATGGTTTTCTACAGAAATGTGCCTACTATTTAAAAAAAACAAAACCAAAATAGATATGAATAATATTTCAGATATTTCAATTCAAGGTTTAAGATAAAAATGGTAGCATGTGAATGTGATTACAGAGCTTGGATTGAAAGTAATTAATATGAATTCTGTGATAAAACTCTTTCAGTGTGGTCTAAAGTATCTAATAAAGTTATTTTAATTTTTAGCCAAAACTACATTCTATAAACCATGACACTGTTTACTGTGGAAGAGATACTGTGAAGTCCTTATTGGCTGTTTTAGATGAAGCAGCTAGTCATCCTCCTTTCAGCAACAAAGCTCTTTTGTTATTTGGATGTGAAGAACTTGGATTTCCTTCTGCCATGTTATTGTTCAAGTAAGTTCTAAGCCTGATGAGGCAGATTCAATCTTTGTTTTGTGAACTATTTTCTTTTGCAGAAAATATCTGGGAAACTATATAATAATGCTAATGCTGATAAAAGCCAGAACCAAAAGTGAATAACTACTTTTTCATTGTCTCTTTCTACCACTCATTTTATTTTTTTCCAACCCTTTAGAATATTAGAATAAATTATGCAGAATGTGTGATGCTATACTTTCTGTCTGTCCATCAGCGGGATAATTTTCCAAAAATTGAAACCCCAAATTTGGTGTCTGAGGAAAAGCCAGCAAAAGAAATATTGAGCTTGAAAAAGGGCCAAATCTGGCTTTAGACTGTTAAAAAAAGGTTTCCTGAAAATAATCCCTAGCTCATTTCTATGAAAGAGACAACTGACAAACATCTTGGAATGTTGGTAATGGCTTCATTCTAGGACCCCTCCCCTTTTTTCTCAGTCACATGACCCTGAGCAGAGTACAGGTAGTCCTCAACTTATTATCATAATTCAACCTGCAATTGCGGTTGTAAGTCATGATAGTAATTAAGCAAATCATCATGTGACCACACCTGATGAAGGGGAACTTACCAAATTTGCAGATGATACTAAGCTGGCAGGAATAGCTAACACCCAAGAAGATAGGCTCAAGATCCAGATGGATCTTGGCAGACTAGAACACTGGGCCATATCTAATAAAATGAAATTCAATATAGAGAAAAGTAAAGTCCTACACTTAGGCAAGAAAAAACAAAAGTACACATATAGACTGGGTGAAACCAGGCTCAATAGCCGTAACTGTGAGAGGGATCTTGGAGTCTTAGTGGACAACCACCTAAATATGAGCTAGCAGTGTGCAGCAGCAGCCAAAAAAGCTAATGCAATCCTAAATTGTATTAACAGAGGGATATAGTCAAGATCAAGTGAGGTACAATACCACTCTATAAAGCCTTAGTAAGACCACACCTAGCATCCAGTTTTGGTCACCACATTATAAAAAAGATGTTGAGACTCTAGAAAAATAACAGAGAAGAGCAACCAGGATGATTAGGGGACTAGAGAAGAAAGGTTACAGGAACTGGGCTTGGCTAGTCTAGTAAAGAGAAGGACCAGGGGAGACATGATAGTGGTCTTCCAATATTTGAGGGGCTGCCACAGGGAGGAAGGGGTCAAGCTATTTTCTAAAATGACTGTAGGCCAGACAAGGAATAATGGATGGAAACTGAACAAGGAGAGATTTAACCTGGAAATAAGGAGAAACTTTCTGACAGTGAGAACAATCAACCAATCAACAGCTTGCCCTCGGAAGTTGTGGGAACACCATCACTTCAAGAAGAGATTGGACTGCCATTTGTCAGAAATGGTATAGGTCTCCCACTTGGGTGGGGGTGGTGGACTAGATGACCTATAAGGTCCCTTCCAACTCTGATTATCTGCTATCTGTTATCTGATTGTACAACCCTTTTTGCAGTGATTGTTAACTGAATGTGATAGTCATAAAGCGAATGTTTATCATCATTAAGCAAACTCATTGTTCATTATTAGGGCATTTTTGCTGGAAAACTTTAAATCGCAGTTACTTGACTGCAAATGGTCATAAATGTGGGCTAGTTGCCAAGCATCAAATGCAATCATGTGACTGTGGAAGGGGATGGCCATTAGAAATTCATAGCTGGATTGTTAGTACCCTTTTCAGATCTGTTGTAACTTCAGATAGTTGCTAAACGACCAGACAAGTCAAGAACTATCTATATATGCTGCTCACTTTGTGTTTCCTAGTGTGCACAAAACCCAGACACAAGACAGTTGGAGAGCAGAAACATATACAAACAGATGCAACATATTACTGAAAATATAGATGTCTTCTGTGACTATTGTTGATAAAGCAGTTGGATAAAAAAAATCCCAGAAGCTATGTTTTGGCTCCTTACCTTGTTTATTCTATCCAGCCTAACGGAATGTTTGAAAGAATTATTTAAGAAGGTTTGGATTTATGTCTAATACGATAACTTCCTGAAAACTGAACCATATGGGCTCCAATTTGATGGTGATGGGGGGGACAAAAGAAGGATGGAGGTAATGATACGAAAATCTTGAAAATTTCTCCAGTGCACTTCCCCAGAGAGTGAGAAGGAAACTGGGATCCTCTTGGAATGTTGCCATCTCAATTCCAACCTCTCCCCTCTTTCTTCTCTCTCAGTCAATGACTAGAGCAGGCAGCTATTAAGAAGTTGGAAATAGTTGCACAAGCCTTGCTCAGCAGGCTTTTGTTCTCTTTTTGATCATTCCTGCCTTTCCCCCACTTTTTTTGCTTTGCTTAGTAGCTGCCAAAAACTGGGGAAAGATTGCATTTGTCAGAATTAATAGTTTGCAGAGAGCTAGAAGAGAGTACATGGAGAGCTAAGGTCACAAATGAATCCAGAGGCCTGTAACTTTTAGAATGGTAGGTTATTCTGCATCGGAAACATCAGCTTTTTGGAATGCTATCTGTCAAAATTCTGTTCTCGGTCAGTATTCTGTTGTGGCTATTGCAAAGGAAAATTGGATGAGATATAGTACTTAGGACCTCAGGATATGACTAGAATGTGAAAAATAATTACCTAGCAAAATTAGTCTTTTATTACTAAGAGCTGAATAGATTATTCTAGCTGCAAAGTTATAATGCTACTGATTCTTCCTTTCTGAATATAGAACTTAGGTGTGACCATAAACACAAATTCAGTAGCAAAAAAGAGGAGAAATATTTGAATTGTGAAGCATAAGCATAAACATTGAAATAAAGGAAGAATAACCAGATTTCGAATTTTTAGTTGACCCAATCAAGCTGTCACAAGTAGAGATAATGCACATATGGAGGTTAAGCACGTACAGAATCTTTCATTTTATAGTGGGATCCCTTATCTAAGTAAACTGGCTTTCTCAAAAATGGATTAAACACCACACAGACAAAAGGTTCTGAATTTCAGGTCATTTAATGTATTAACAAGTATTCTAAATCTATACGTGCATATCATATAAGGCTAGTACCATAGTAACCAATGTGTTTCATGCTTACCATAGTTGCTTGTATTTTGTTTAAATATTAATACAGATCTCCAACACAGTCCAGGGGATCTTCTCCCAAAGCTCTGAGACAGCGGATTCAAATGGCAGTATGTGAAAAAATTAAGGTAGATTAACCATGAACTTCTCTTGCCTGCCCCTCCCTCCAAGATGAAGCATTTATTTAAATCTAAACTTGTTTATGCATTCTGGCATACTACATGTAATGGTACGTAATGGAACTTCAGATATAGGGAGAAGAGACACAGCCAAGGGAATGGGCAGATAAAAGGAATGCAGTTCAGAAGGGACCCTCCCTAGTTTCTTGAGTGTAAAAGGGAGCCGGGGGGGGGGGGGGGAGAAAATATATAGATTTGCAAGATTTTTTCGTTAACATAACCTTACCATAAAGTAGAATTACTCATCTGGCCATGTATCCTGTTTGATCCAACTTTGAAAGTTGTTGCTACTGTTCTATTTTCTGGGTTGGTTTCTTTTTAAAAAGAAGGAATAGATCACCTTTAAGGGAAAATGAGCCTATTGTCCAGGAGGGTCATTAATGATGCTTAAGGCATAATTGCTGTTAATGTTCTCCTACCTGAACTAGAAGGCTTGCAGCCAGAGATTTAAACATGAAGACACTTAGCACTTAGAACTATATACCACTTCATAGTGCTTTACAGCTTTCTCTAAGCGGTTTACAGAGTCAGCTTGTTGCCCCCAACAATTTGGGTCCTCATTTTACCCACCTCGGAAGGATGGAGGGCTGAGTCAACCTTGAGCCTGGCGAAATTCAATCTGCCAAATTGCAAGCAGCCGGCAGTCAGCAGAAGTAGCCACCATGCCATCAGGGCTCCTCAAAGATACTTCTTTTTCTGTAGATTCTAGAAAAGCCCTTAATAAGAAAAAACCCAGCACTTCATGACTTACATATTGCCAGCCCCAAGATGAAATACATCTTTTTTTTCTCCTGTCTTTACATTGCAATGGCTTGAGTGTCTTTTGTTTCTCAGCAGGAATGATTGGTACCTTTGAATTTTATTCTGTCTGGTGTCAGTCCCTTTTCCCCCTAAGCTTGCGAGCATCATCACCTCAAGTAATGCAGGAGGATATTATGAAAACAAAGCCAGAAAATGGGGGGAGGGGGAGGGGGAAGCTTGCTTCTGTGTGACAAGAAGCTTTTTTCTTAATGCTCCCCCCTTGTTTTCAGCTTCAAATTGAACATAAACTGGAAAACTCCCTTTCCCATATTGCTACAACAGAGGGTTCTGTAAGATTACAGCTTAGAAATGCTGAAATTCCATTTTTGCTAACTTCTGCAATATAACCTCTTAATGAACATTAATTACTTCAACCGCTGGTGCATAAGAGACTACACCCATTGTTCATCTATTACTTATTTCAACAATTAACAAAAATACAATATAAATACATTTGCAATATTTTTACATATATTTAAATCTTTTTAATTCCCCCTGCCTGTTAAATTAAGTCAAGAATGGCTCCCCAAAGAACCAGTTGAAGATAGTTCACCTTGCATGAATTTTCCCCTGTCTCTGGACCCTCCCTTTCTTCTTGGCTCTACCTCTTTTTTTTCTGAAAGAGATCGTTGTCTGACTTTGTTCATGCATCACACCAAGGTACTGAATAATGTAAATATGGATTTGTGTTAGATTGTTACATGAATACAGTCATTGTGCTTTATAAATGTTGTGCCAAGTGTGACTGATTCAGTAAATCTTGACTAGAGAAGTGTTGACTTAGTGCAATACGTGAACATAGCTTATATCAGGCCTATGTTTATTTGTGTACGTGTATGTTTACATACAGTGGAAAAAAGATGATTTTTAATGAACTTATGAGAGTCCTTTAAAAAAATCAATCAAGGCTGCAGCTTTCTAAAACACATCTAATGTAGCTATTTTTTTCGTGTGAAATACAAGCAATTATACAGTAATTTTAGGCATTCAATTAATTATTCCAGCACGCAAACTAAAGAAATGAAAAAAAAAAAAGCCAGAGCTTCGCTTATATCTATCACAGTCGAATAGAAATCTGTCTTCCTCATTTATACATTATAATTCATATTGATCTACTTCCTTTTTAGTTGAAGCAACCTTTAATTAGATCTCAGTTTGCTTGCACTTATAAAGATGACCAAATAATCAAGCCAAAGAATCAACCCTTCAGTTCATCAACAAATGTGTATCCAGCACTCCAAAAAACAGCAGCTTCTCATACTGAAGACAGATCAACTTCAGGTAAATTCAGTGAGCAATATCTCTCTACTTCTCTGCCCCCTCATTTATTGGCCAGGATGAATGTATATGCTGTCAATTAATTGAACAGCTCCCAAATAAATGAAATAATTGCTATACCAATGTAGAAGTGGTCCGCTAGACATATTTTGGCACCTGCAGTGGCTAGTTAGATGCCGCAGGAAGCTCAAAGCAAGGCATGAAGGCAACAACCTTTCCCTGCCAAGTGTTTCTCTACAGTTGATACTCAATATTATGTTGTCTCTGAATTTGTTAGCTCTTTGTAAACATATACTTATCTAGTTATTTTATTTATTTTGTTGCATTTATTTAAAAAGTCTTGTTTTCCCAAAACTGTAAGCTGTCTTTCCCTCCGTCAGCTTAACTTAATGTCAAACATGGGAAAATCAGGAAGTCTAGGTAGTTCAAATGAATATAAAGGGTTGTTTGTTTGTTTTTGCAAGCCGATGATCTCTACAGGAATCTGAACTAGTAATGTCAAAGCAAAGAGGCTGTAGATAAGAGTCAATGAAAATCAAAGTGGGCTGGCCTTAGATCTTTTGTGGGAAGGGACTCTAGACTGATGATGTGTTTGATTCCCCTGGGGCTCAGCCTGGTCATTTCCTATACTTTCTTTACAATGGTAATATGAAAATGATCAATATTTTCCTGAAATCACCCATAGTTCTAAAATTTAGATCTTTACTACCATTTTGCAGCACAAAATATGCCATCTTTATGAAAAAGAATTTTTGCTTGTCAGGGCAGTTTGTGGTTTTTGGTTTGTTACATTCTACCTTCCAGATACACCATAGAGCTCTTGCTGCTACGGTACTTCTAGAGAGGCCTGGGGATACTGGCAATTTCTATGACCTTCAACAATTGAGGGCAGAAAAAATACAAAGGGTTTGCTGTCCTGGAGTGACAAGGACATATAGTAGTTGGTGAGATCACCAAAGGGCAAAACCACAAAGCTGAGGACATGCCAAGCAGATCATTTTGTTTTAATAGCTGAAGTGTTACTTGCTCGTTAGTTGGTTGTCTTCCAAGAGCTAATTTTATTGACAGTAGATGATAACATGATGTGGCCTTGGAAAGAGTAGAGAGAGAGAATGAGAGGTAATGTACGGTAGGTGGAAGTATGTCATTGCAGGAGAGGCTAAGGTCAGTTAAGAAGAACTTTGGTTAGGTGCTTCTAAGTTAGGTTGTGTTTTGGTTCCTCTTTTTCGAAATTAAGGCATCTGACCAATCTGCCTTCTACTCTTGCAGTGGTGCATTTAAATATTAAGTTGGGCCATAATAAATCTTCATGCACAATGAGAAAGCCAGTGGGGTTATTACCAGTTCTTACATAGATGGACCAAGTGAACTTGATCTGACTACATTCTGTCTGATCAAGTATCAGCCTAGATTGGAGGGCTGGATATGTTTTTGGCCATTATGTTAACTCATAATGTAATATCAGTTTTGAGTTTATGTAACTGATGTAGAAGCAAAGAGATAGGGCATAGTATTTCTAGTGAATCATTCTTCATGATCTAGGTCACCAAGATAGAGTTGAGGAACTCCAGAGTGATGGGGCTGTGACATTTTTTTGGGATCAAGTGCAGGGGTTGGATTCAAATTTTTTAACAACTAGTTCTGTGGGCGTGGCTTAGTTGGTGGGTGTGGCTTGGTGGTCATGTTATTGGCTGGGCATGGCCAACTCAATATCACTCAACTCGAGGCACGCATCTCCTCGCCTGGCCTCTCATGACTGTGGGGATGCTGCAACAGTCGTAAGTGTGAAAAATGGTCATAAGTCACTTTTTTCAGTGCCATTGTAACTTTGAATGGTCACTCCACACAAGCAAAGTACCAGCAAAGGAGGGGGGGGAAACTCCAGAGAAGTTCCTGAGACAGAAAGTCTAGTCCTGCCAAGAATGTAATAAGGGTTAACGGGGAGGCAGTTTTTGTAAGCAACACCAGAATGTTTCCTTCCTGCCTTCCTTACAGGATTAGGCCAGTAATTTCTTCTAACAACCGGTTCTCCGAATTGCTTAGAATGTTAACAACCGATTCTAGCGAATAGGTGTGAACTGGTAGAATCCAACCTTGATCAATTGGCTGTCATGAAAAAAAACCCACCTGAGCTTCTTTAAGACAATACAGTAAGTGCATGCTGCCAACTTAGCAGTTTGAAAGCAGATAAACACAAGTAGATAATAGGTACTACTTTGGTGGAGTGTGCCTTTGGCATATAATCATGTCAGCCATATGATCATAGAAGCGTCTTCAGTGTTGTACATCATGTCCGCTATCTCTTTCTTTTTAATTAAATCCAGTTCAGGCTGTAATCCTTTTTATACACATATAGAAGTATATATAAAATGTATCTTTTTCTTGTAATGTGAAATGTGCTAGCCCCTCCCCCCATGTTCACAGAACTTTTTTCAAACTCTTTGCAGTTAATGTTGGTTTTTAATATCTTGAGTAATTTGTGTGTTATATTAGCATGCAAAACAGGAAAGGGGAGTTGGAGTTTGGCATGGTGATCTCACTTGTATCTGTTGATTGTTTTTTATTGGAGCTCTTATCTTTTCCAGAGTTTGCATGGTAGCCATGTGGGATCAAGAAATCCAAGTATGCCCACTTGCCCTTGCATTACTCACAAGTTTTACTGCTCTATTCTTTCCTGACACAGAATCATCTCTGAGCACATAAAGTAACACTACTTTTAGAACAGACTGTAAGCAGATCCAACTATTTGACCTAGAGCATGAAACACTGAGGCAATCAAACTTTTTTAAGATTTGAAAATAACATTGCTTGTTCTTTTTAGGGCATGTTCTGTGTTTTCTTTTAGAGGTAAATAACTGAAACCTCATTGAAAATGCTGCAAAAAATATCTGGGCTGTGAACTGAGTGAACATCAATACACTGTAGCAGTTCCCATGCTCATAAAAGCTTATGCAGTTTTTGGTTCATTTAACTTGAATATTTCCAAGGCTCTTTCCTGTTGTTTTCTTCTGAATTAATACCTTCTGCCACCTATGTCATTATGAGATTGACTTTTTGTATTTGTCCAGTTAAGTGGCTGATAAAGTTCACTTTGGACTCTTCAACAGCAAAATGTAATATCTTTCGGTGCTTGGGCACTGCATCAAAATCCAATTCATATTTTTCAATAATTTGCACATGCTTTAAAAATGAATGGTTTCTTGTACTCTTGTTTTTATACGTGTTTATTTTCTGAAGTGGTTGCTGAGGTATTTTTTTATGTCAAGGGTGATGGTTCAGATTGTATAATGTTGTTTTCAATTAATTTTTTCTACTAATTAGACTTAGTTAACTCAATTTACAAGAACAATGTCTCTTGAAAATTAACAGGGGTGACTAGTATACAACAAAAACAATTTAAAAACAGTGTATTTTTTCCTCTTATTTATTTATTTTATTTTATTTATTTATTAGATTTGTATTGCTGCCTATTCACCATGAATATAAATGTTATAAAATGTTTTGTTTTCTTAACCATCAGAAAGCCTGACTTCATCACTTGAAAATACTACACTTGGAACTGGTTCTGAAAATGTTTGTCAGAATGGAAATACAAGAAACAAAATAGGAAAATTAAGTTGCCAGCCAGAGAACAAGAATCCAAAGAGGAAGCTGGTGGACAGAACTAGTGAAAATGTCATATTCACTAATGAAAATGAAACACCACAGTATAAGAAACCAAAGACTGTAGTGAAATGCCAAAATAGTTTAGACAGCAAACTAAAAGAACCCCCCAAATCCAAAAAGGCTGTACCCAAAACCAAGCTTATTATTGGGCAAGCGAAACTAACTCAGTTCTTTAGGTTGTAAATGTCAGTGGCTTAAAAGGGCAAAAAAACCAAGACTATATTAAGATTCCATTGCAATCATGATTATGCAGAAGTTTTATATATACAATACTTAAAAATTAAATCATCAAGTTTTATGCAGAATTCTCAGTTTAATAATGCACTGTGATTTTACACTTGTTTCAATATGTAGCATTCTGACATAGAAATATTTAGAATCTTTACAAACACATAGCAATATTTTAACCACAATTACATTTTTTGTGACTTATCAAGGAAAGGGCTTGTCTCTTCCAAGTGATGCACTTCAGGGTCATCTTAGGCTTGCCAACAAGGTCGATACACTCTTCCCAGCATACATCTGAGCACTAAAGAAAACACAACAAAAATTTGTGATTTTGACTGTCAAGTATATATTTTTATAAACAAATTTTAACTACATTGTCATCTGTAGTGGCATGTTGTAAATTATCATTCATTTGAAATTTTAACTCATTTTTTCTAATAAATATTTAGAACACATGTTATCTTTTAAATCTTACGTTCAACCAGTCACTCTTCAAAAGATCAAGTGGGACCTACAATTTTTAAAGACTTAGGGTAATAATAAACCTTTCTTTTTCAGAGAAGCTTATTCTGATGATTGATTGCTACATTTGTCCTTTGATAATAAAAAGGTGGCAGCTCAGTATAGTTTTACCTGTGTTAAATACGTAGAGATGCAATTGAATATATATGGATGAATGAAACACTGGCTTATTCCTGAGCAGGCTTAAGCTAAAAAAATTGGCTGATTTCTAAGGCACCCCAGTCTTCAGGAGTTTGGTAGAGAAAACTGACTACCTTTTGTGTGAATGCATTGAAAAAGATGATGAAAAAAGGCAGCTCACGGGAGAGGAGGGAGAAACAATTGTGTCTCTCCTGCTAAGCCAAGTTAGAAAAACTCTTATATTTGGGCATCTGGACAATAGCACTAACCTGGAGGCATCACTCTGCCAATTCTCTTTCTCTCTGGCTGGATGTTCCTTGTGACTTCCACAACTGGCCTAGCAGCATGAGGATTGCTGACAAATTAAGGTGCACTTCAAATTGCTATTGTAGCTAATGGACAATTGCCCAAAAGAAAATGGTGGGCCACATATGCCATAGAAGTTAGGCAGGTGGAAAACTAGCTATGTGGCTCTTCTTGAGCCTCCGCTGCAATGTGCAAGAGAAAAAGGAACTTGAAAGTTGGGAGTACAGGTAGTCCTCGACTTATGACCACAATTGAGCCCAAAATTTCTGTTGTTAAGTGAATTTTGCCCCATTTTATGACCTTTCTTGCTATAGATGTTAAGTGAATTTCTGTGGTTGATAAGTTAGTAACCCGATTGTTACCAAAAGGTGATCACGTGTCCTTGGGACACAGCAATGGCCATAAATATGAACCAGTTGCCAAGCATTTGAATTTTGACCACACAATCATGGGGATGCTGAAAAGGTTGTAACTGTGAAAAATGGTCATAAGTAACATTTTTAGTGCCGTTGTAACCTTGAGTGGTCACTAAACGAATTGTAAGTCGAGGACTACCTGTACTGAAGATCACTAGTCACATACATTAGGGAATATAACTAGCTGAGAAATTTGAGAATTGCCTTGACCTCTACTTAGATTGCTTCTGCTTATCACTGGAGAAATGGTGGCCACAGTTATTCATTTCAATAGTTATAACTATTATTTAGCAAATTAAGGTAATAATGTTTTGCAGAAACATGAAAATATAACTCACGATCAAAATCTCTTCTTCCGATAGGCAAATTAGCTGAGTTTTCATCACTTCCTGTCTCACGCCGTTCTTGTATTGATTCAATATTTTCAACCTCAGCATTTGATGGAAAAGTCATAGGTCCCTCCAATTCAAAATAAGGAATCTGCTTAACATTTATGCTCCGTGGCTGGCCGTAGTTTATGACATGATGTTTATAACCTATATTCTGTACTCCAGAGAATAAGTAGAGATGAAAATTTTCAAAATAAAAATATTCCAGTCCTTAACCCACTAATGAGCCATTTCAGAAAAGAGTTATCTTCAGATTGCAGTATAATCTATCCTGAAGTTTAGTTTTTAGCTTAAAATCAAGAATCAAACCAGGTTTTTTCAAGGCAAGACACCTTAATACATAGCCAAGGGATGTTAATGCGAAATAAAATTGATTTGTTTAATTAAGTTTAATAATACTAAGGTCTACTTAAAGATTTTTTTCCCTTTGTGATATGTACTAATGATGGTAAGAGCAACATTAAGATTTGTTTTTAAACTAAAGCTGAAAGGCATGTTTTTTCTTTTAAACTCTTCAAGACTGAAAATACAATATTAACATTTTCATATATACAAAACACAGCATTCTGTTCACTTCATTTTAGGATGATAGCTGCTTCAAATCACATTCCATACTAATTATATAGCAATAGCACTTAGACATATATACCGCCTCACAGTGCTTTGTCAACCCTCTAAGCAGTTTACAGAGCCAGCATATTGCTCCCAACAATTTGGGTCCTCATTTTACCAACCTCGGAAGGAAGGAAGGCTGAGTCAACCTTGAGCCAGTAAGGATTGAACTGCTGGCAGTCGGCAGAGTTAGTCTGCAATACTGCATTCTAACTATTGTGCCATTATGGCTCTATATATTGGCATATCTGAAATAATATATTCCAATGTTTTGTTACAAATTTATGGTCCATAATGCTAATTTGTGTTACACAATAGCTACACAGAAAACTCACTGAGAAATGAGGGTTTCGATCTTCATCCAGAAAACTGCTGTCCTCCATTTTATAATGCTCAAAAGAAGATGTAGGCAGAGACTTTCCAGCTTTGTCACCATTCTGCGTTATCTTTCCAAGGCTGAATGTGCTTAGCAGCATATTATCTTCTGCTTTTCGCATAGACTTTGAAACAGAAATCAAAGACCCTTGAGACAAAAGAGAAAAAATCAATAGTAATACATGGGATGAGGTACACATTCTCCAACGTTTAGATGTTTGCATGGAGGTGAACAAACTTTAAATATTACTTAAATGAGACTAATTTGAAAATAGAACATGGACAGAGAAATGGTATTATATAGCTCGCGGAATGAATAGATACCACTTCAATGACTTACACTGTGAGTAAAGAGAACTGACCTTTTGCATATCATTACATGTCTTTTGTTCCAAACCATGGGTGATGAGCTGATTTTCGATACATTCATTATATACTTTGGATTATCTTATCAAGTACCACGGGACAATTTTCTTCTGAATTCTAAGTTAATCTTTAAATTCCACTTCACACAGTCTCAGGAAAGAATTAATTTGTGCATGTGTGGAACAAGAAAGGCAGAAGAACTTCATTATTCATGCTTTAAAAACTAAGGCTTCTTGAGAAATAGGAGAAAAACAGTCTGTGAGGAAAAGTCTTAAGCAATTAAATCTTAAAGAGAATTCAAACCTCTTCCAACTTGTCCAGACAAAATGTTTCGTACATGTGCATAAAATAAGGAGTCATGGATATAATTTGAAATATGCCACACTTGTGCTTTAATTTAATTTTGAAGTAGATGCCATGACTCCTGCTTCCTTAGGAGAGAATATTATTTAAACAAACATGAGTTTTTGTCTCGCAAGTGTTCAGAGGAGACAGATTTAATATAGAAATAGTGACATGAGTGAGGAGTAACTTGGCTCTGTGCCTGTCTAATGTTTTTCTCAAGCAGCTTTGTCTGAGATTTTGAATTGTTCCACCCTTGCTCCACAAAAGTATAAATATAAGAAAAGGTAGCTTAGAAGATATCAAATAATAGAATAAGCCAAGGAATATAGGAGTAATTCAAGTAATGGCATTTGAATTAACTTCAGTAAGCTACCACTGGATATTCAGTAATAAATGTACACACCAGTTTGCACAAATAATGAATCAAGACAAAAGAGGATAATTAATTAAATTAGATATTTAAGGTCTTATTCAATGAGGCTGGGGAAAAAAAACAAACGAAGAGTCTGCCAAACAAGCTGGTGAATGGACTCAGACTGGCAATGGATGTGCCTTTAGATGATCAGATTAGGGACAGATTATCATGGAGGATATTTATGTGGTGGTCACTAAGAGTTAACATTGAGTTGATGTCACATAATCAACAAACATGGATCATAAAACAGTAGATTTTAAGCCCGAAACTTGACTATGAAATAGATCATGAACTGTTCACGTGCATGCTCCAGATAAACTAAAGCAAAAGAATAGTGCCAACTGTTTTCCACTATAATATTTTGAACAGATACCCACAGGTGGAATTCAGCTGGTTCTCACCGGTTGGCCCGAATCAGGGGTGCGATTCAACTGGCAATGCTACCGGTTCGGTATTTGTGTTTTGCGAGACATGCGCTGTGCGCACGTGTATTACACCATTAGACAAGCCACCGGGATAGCTGATAAGTGCTCGGGTGCATTTTTTTTTACTGCTTTTTCAACCTCAGCTGTGCCGCGCAAAGCAGCTAAGGTTGAAAAAGCAGGAAATAAAGGTCAGGTAAGAGGCCGGGTGGGCAGATGGGCCAAGCAGCAGCAGACACAGAACCGGTTCTGTGTCTGCTGCTCTTCAGAGCTACCAGTTCTACAGAGGTGGGCAGAACCAGTAGCATCCCACCCCTGGTCCGAACCATTAGTTAATTGCTTATGCAGTTTGGAGAACTGGCTAAAAATAAAGTGCAAGAGAGTTCCCCCCCCTCTCACTCTTCAATGAATAGCTCTGGGCAGACAGCCAAGAACCACTTAACAGTGGGAATGCAGCTGATACACACTGAATCAAGTCAAACAACAGAAACTGACAGGATTAGGACAGGGAAACCCATCAATCACCCATCTAGGGATGGAATTAACCTCTTCCCTTCAGGAAGAAGGACACGATTACAAACATTTTCATTATAAAGAGTATTAAGTAACACTTCTGTGATCAGCTGATACTGCCTGGAGTTTCCCCAAGACCTTTTATAGCTGCTGCAGTGTTGGTTACTTCTTGTTTCTTCCTGGGGAAAAGATAGAGGAGGGGACAATGATGCAGCTTGATCATACAGAATATAGAATTTAATGCATGTGTGGTCCAGCCAAGCTGTATTGCTTCTGCTGTGAAGCACCCAATTTAGAACATAGAGAACATAGAATAATAGAGTTGAAATGGATAATGACTTTGACAGCATGCCCAGGCTTTCAATTAGCATGAGCTAATTGGAAGCTTGAAAGAAGAGATTGGATAGCCATTTGTCTGAAGTGGTGTAGGGTTACCTGCCTAAGCAGGGGATTGGACTAGAAAACTTCCAAGGTCCTTTCCAACTCTGTTATTCTATTCTAAAGATTGGAACGGTGCTATTTTATTGTGAGTTGGACTAAGGAGAAATTTCCTAAGGGTGAGACCAATCAAGTTGACCATGCCCACCCAGTCATTGGGCAGAGAACTGGTTGTTAAATTATTTGAATCCCACCACTGCATATACCCTACTAATTTTAGAGAGGACTTCCAGAATCTCTTTGAAGTCATGAACCTCAGTGATAGGACAGGAACTGTGGAATGAAATCAAATAAATTGTTAAGGATGAAAAGGGACAGCCAAAGACTTAGATACAAAAGATAGCAAATTGGATGTCTGAACAAACGGTAAAAATTGCCAAGAAGAAAAGAGAAATCAAAGCCAAGAATGACAAAGGTCTCAGGAAGGAACTTAAAGAATTTCAGACAGCTGTTAGATGAGAAGCAGTTATCTAATAACATCTGTAAAGACACTGAAATTAGCAGCATACACAGAAAAACTAAGAAATTCTAAAAGAGCTCATATCTTGCAACCCTGAATTGATATGCTAAAGAATAATAATGGAAAGATGGTCACTGATTTAAAAAGAGCCAACAAGGATGGAAGGAGTATACTGAAATTCTATACATTAAAGATGTCACCATCTAAGATCTTATCCAATAGGATATTCTCTACAGGAAATCATTGTTTATTGACCATGAAAACTTATGATGGACTCCAAGAAAGCTATTTATGACCTTGATCTGAAGTTCTGATGCTTTCCTCCCCCACCCCTTGGTGATTGCATTTTGGATGCTTAGCAACCAGATCACATTTATGTGACTGTGATTTATGATTTCTTTGGTGGAAATCGGCGTTTACTTCCAGTTTTCACCAAAAAACTGTCAATTCTGAATGATGGGTTCACTTTATAACCACTTAACATTAAAAATATGTAAAACCAAGTTGGTCATGTGATGACTTGCTTAATGATCATCACAATGTATGATCATAATTCCAGGCTCAATTATGATCGTAAGTCAAAGACTACCTATAAATACAGGTACTACTACTGTGGTCATTACCAGGGTGGAAAGCTACTTGATATATGTGTCAAGAGATTGGAAGAGTTCAGTCTACATACAACAAAGAAAGAGAATTTAGTAGTGTGCAAAGCATTGTACAAAATTCTTAATTTCACATGCTAGCAAAATAATGCTCAGGATTATTCAACACAGATTGGAATCCTATATGGAAAAGAAAATCCAGGTGTTCAAGCTAGTTTTAGAAAAGGCCAAAGGCCAAGAGACATTTTTGCCAATGCACCCTGGGTAGTTTAGAAAGCCAAATATGAGTAAAAAGAAGCTGATACGTTCCTCATTATAAACAGACCTTTCACTGTATAACCATGTGGTACATTCCACAGCCGTGGAATGGCTGTGGACTCCTAGAAAACATCATGCTCATATAAAATCAATATATAGAACAGGAAGTCATAGTCTTGAAGGAACTTGGCAAAACAGGGTGGCTGCAGGCTGGCAAAGAAGTGAGATAAAACTATATTCTCCCCTGCCTTTGGACTGACTTTTGCCTTTTAGAATTGGCTTACAATAATAAAGGATAATAATAAATATGGTTCTGTGGGCGTGGCTTGGTGGGCATGGCTTGGTGGGCGTGGCAAGGGAAGAATACCTCTAAAATCTCCATTCCCACCCCACTCCAGGGGGAAGGTTACTGCAAAATCCCATTCCCTTCCCACCCCACTAATCTGCTTTCCAGCTCTGTTCTCCTGTGCAGGGAAATAAAAGAAGGCCCAGATGATCAGCTGGGACTCGGAGGCAGAGAATAGATGGGGGTGGGGCCAGTCAGAGGTGGTATCTGCCAGTTCTCCAAACTACTCAAAATTTCTGTACCGGTTCTCCAGAATTGGTCAGAACCTGCCGAATACCACCTCTGCATATTTCCCTCCACATTGTCCAAAAAGATGCTTCTGGGAAGGTCACAAACAAATACTGAATGCAATTCCCTCTTCAGGCTATTGTCACATGTAGCATATTCTAAAATAGAAGTTTGTGAATTTACATGGCATTCTGAGGTTATGGTGACTCATTGAGCCAGGTTTATATTATATTTACTGTCTAACTAGGAACAATCCAAGAATCCATGTGTCGGGCTTCGAGTTTGCTACAGAGCTCCAAACACGCCTCGCAGCAAGTCAGCTGGCTGTGGAGAATGTCACCTTATCTCTGCTGCTGCTGGATCTGTATTTCTGCTGGTGTGCTGGCCGATGGTGTTGCTTTGGAATGACTCAGCAGAGCTGTCAGCTGCAGGATGGATTCTGAAGCAACTGCGGGGCTGGATATGGCTCTTTTCATGTATTAATGTGGTGCATATTGTTAGAGGGGGTTGGGGCACATATAGGTGGTAATTATGCCTTAGGTTAAAACATGGTGAAGGTGGCACCAGGTGGGGATCAGTTAGTGAGGGTTGGAATAGGTTAGGGTTATAGGGTTAATTGCATTTAGGGATAATGGGTTAGGTGTGGCCTGAACTAGAACTGCATATAGGCCTGGGTGTGGTTGGGTGTGTCTCATGATAATGGTAATACAAGGAAAGGGAGCAAACTCAAACCCAACTCTAACCTTGCTTGGCTTTTAGCCTTTCTTGTCAGATAAGAGTATTTGTTGTTTGCTGATCTAATGA